AAGCTGCTGATATACAAAGCATCAATCAGACCGGTGTTAGTATATGCCTGCGGGACAGTGAGAAAGGCGGCAATCCTATCGCTCGAAGCCTTTGACCGTTAGTGTCTTCGACGCCTCTTAAGCCTCTTCTGGCAGGATCGAATTTCCAATATCGAGCTATATCGCAGATGTTTCAAATTACCAAGTCTAGCATCATACATCCAGCATCGCCGATTGCAATTGTTTGGCCATGTCCTGCGCAAGCCATCGACAGACCTCTGCAGATTGGTCATGAACCTCTCTCGAAGTGCAAACTGGAGATACCGACATGACGGTCAACTGAAGACGTCGGACGTCGAACGGATGGGCCTCGTAACCGTTTATAGCCTGCGACACTGGAACAAACAATGTGTCAACATTTACAAGGAACTCGCTTCCGATCGCCGCCAATGAGCCGCCGCTATCCGTGACATTCCTGAAGCCGATTCGTCCCGCAACAGTAGCTAATCGGATCAAGTACAAGCAAGTAAGTAATCAGACTTTTAGAGGCCATTCAATCCTGACCACCGATTGAGAATAAAGCCTGTGTTGTGGGAATTACCTGGCAGCTATTCATGAGGAACAAGGTATACTTTAGCGTTCGGAAGAATTCGGGATCTCTCTCTCTCTCGAAACCCATCACCACAGAGAAGGTTGTCAAAAATGTGCCAAAGCATTCAAATGTGTTAAAAGAAGCGAACGGTTGGACTGGGAGCTTGATTGTTCGATGCACTTCGGTTTAACCACCCTAGACAACGATTTGATTTCAGAAGATTTGGGTTGGTATGACCTCGCATTATGCTTGTTACGGCTGCGATCATGACTGATCTAGACGGTCTCGATGATGTCCCGAATGGTACTCCTCCATGCGTGGCGATCCCTGGCGGCAGACCTTGGAAAGTTCAAACCATTATTTTCACCAGCGCCGAAAACCGAAGGTCCAAGAACCATTTCCATGGCTTGACAGACTGAGTCGAGCCAGGTTTTGAGCTGACCTCCTCTTCGACGGCTCCAATTGGTTACCGGTGTCAAGTCGAATGTAGTGACACTAAGTTCGTGAGGTTGACGACGAAGAACGTGCCCGAGTCCCCTCAGTAATCTTTTTTGGATGGCTTGGGACGTCATTGTCACGGTGTTGCGGCGAGTGCCGAGGATACGGAGTAAGATTTCAAATGGGTGAACATG